TATATATATATATATATATACACAGACAAGAAAGTATATATATATATATATATAAAAAAACATCAGATTTGTGAATTGATGTTCAAGTATCTGTCAGTGTAAAGGTCACAATTTATTAGACAGCCCAAGACCTTTTTTTAAAAACCGCTGAGGAGTAAAGTAGATCTCAGGTGCCTGTACCTGCTCTCAATAGTAGTCTATGTCCGCCCTCTCTGTGCAGCAAGTAGCTTCTTCCTTCTGAGAGCCAAGACTCGTTCTGAGGCTACTCTAGAGATCACATGACCTTCCTCCAGGAGGCAAGCCTCATTCTGAAACTTTACCCACTGATGTCTTACCGGAAAGGTTTACTCCGAGTAAACCTTTCAGGGAGAAAATGCCTCTCTCGCGGACGTCAGGGAGCCGCTATCTAATAGAGGGAGACTCCCTGAACATCAGGGAGACTTGAGATCCCTGCAATGTGCGCCCGGGTTGGCATCGGCAGCAGGCACCAGCTGGTTGTTCAAATATGCTACTAAACCCTAGACCACCAGGTAACGGAGAATGGAGCCATGATTCATTATAGTTGAATATACTGGATCCCATTTGTGACAATGGATAAGATTATACAAGCTTTAGGTGCAGAGTTTTGTTATTGTTATGACATTCATTCTGGTGGTGGCAGGAATATGATGTCATTCAGTGGGTGGTGTTTTACAGTTGTTTTCCTTGTTTTTTTAGGTTAACAACACTGGGTATTTAAGGATGTTTAGCAATTTGGGTTTCTAACACTTTGTCTGATCAAGGGATCCTTCGAGGTTCTGAAACGTTGCTTTTTCAAGTCATGCTGAGGGAATAGCATTTGACATGATACTCTAAAGATTTTGGAAAAGGGTGCAATTTCAGTGCTTGCCACAGGTTCTATTTTCTGTAGCTATGCTTCTGCACATGGTTATTGTCATGGTTTGTCCTTGCTGCTGGCTACAGTGACTAAGTCACCTTCAGCCTTTATATATTGTTCCTGCTGTCAGCAGCTGCGTTGTAACCCACGTTTTCTACCTAGTGTGTTTACATAAACTGCCTCAGTTGCAGCGCAACATGCTGGTACCCAAGTGCAAAGAAAGCAGTCCTATGGGCCTCTACAGCTCTCCATTACATTACAGCTATGTGATGGCTTCCAGTGCCCCTCCTCAGGAACTTGACACTGATAGAGTGGATCAATGCATTGGTACGGGTCAAAGTGTGCAGGGGCTAAAAGCTAAAGGTCCATTGTCTACCTTCACCCCATTTTATGTTATCAAACCTACATGTGTCTTCGCACAGGCTAGGTCCCTAGGGAACCAGCTTCTTTTCATACCAAGTTTTACCAAGTGGATGTTCAGGCCTCAGGTGATGCAAGCTTCAGGCATAAGGTCCTTCAAGCATCTCTTCAAGTTGTAGATTGATGGCAATTTTTACACTACCCCTCAGTTAGACTGCTTTTGGACGTCCCAGTTATCTTTAAATCACTTCTAATCCTGCATCCCTTAATGAACAAGAAAGAAAATAGGATATTGAACTTACTTTAAAATGTGTTAACCGATTGAACACTTTTTTGGCTTCATATATACATGTAGATCAAGTGGGTTTTATAGTGGGACGCCAAGGCCCGGACCAGATTAGGAGGGCGGTGGATATTATCTCCCTGCTGCAATCCAATTGGGATGGTGGACCCCGGCAGGAGGGCATGTTGTTATCCGTTGACTTGCAAAAGGCGTTCGATTCGGTTTCCTGGCCTTATATGTTCACTTTATTGCGGCAATGGGGCTTTGGTCCGTTTTTCCTTCGGCTGCTGCTTACTCTATACTCTAACCCATCGGCTCGGATTCGTATTCAGGGGCATCTCTCTGAACCCTTTGATATTTGCACGGGCACCCGACAGGGATGTCCCCTATCGCCATTGCTTTTCGCAGTGGCGATAGAACCCCTCGCCATTGCCATCCGCAATTCAGCTAATTGTGCACTTTTTGCGGATGACTTATTGCTTTTTGTTAAATCTCCCCTTATATCGGTTCCCAATGCTCTAAGAATCTTAGATGAGTTTGCAGCGGCCTCTGGACTTAGGGTCAATTCTTCTAAGTCAACGGCTCTCGATGTTAACATGCCCCCTGACATCTGGACCCACCTTATCCAAGCCTTCCCGTTTACTTGGTCAAATGACTGTTTACAATATCTGGGGAGTTAAACTCACACCGTCCTATTCGTCCCTATATAAATGCAATTATGTTCCACTATATAAACAATTAAAAGCAGATGTAGACAGGTGGTCCTCTTGTACCTTTTTGTGGATTGGGTAAAGATGACCCTCTTGCCAAAAATATTGTACTATTTTAGAGCACTGCCTATAGCTATCCTTAGGGCTGATCTGTTGTCTTTCCAATCATACCTTATGTGGTTTATTTGGGGCCAGAAATCCCAGAGACTTTCTAAAATTATCATGCACTCTCCTAAAGACGTTGGAGGTTTGGGGGTCCCTAATTTAATGCTATACTATAGGGCGGCTAAATTGGCTCAGTTATCTTCTGTATACTTTCTAGGATACCAGCCGGATTGGTTGGCCCTAGAGTCGGCCTCGGCATCTGGTACACCGGTGGACGCTCTTATGTGGACCACCCCTAGACGTCGCCCGGTTGTCCTCGCGCCGACTCTGTCCTCCTTAGCTTTATGGGATCGTCTCTGGGGGCTTTATGACTTGACATCGACCCACACTCATCTGGCACCAATAGTCTGCAATCCTGCCTTCCCACCAGGTACTCAAGCACAAGCATTTCAGTGGTGGACTGATAAGGGTCTTTATCGTATTGGTCATTTTTTTAAGGACCGCCAATCCCTCACATTGATCTACTGCCTGAATACCTTAAATATGCCCCCCACTGAGATGTTTCGTTACAGACAACTTCATCACTTTTTGAAGTCTTTAGATCTTCCTCCAACAGATTCCCCATTTTCCAACACATATGAACGGTGGTACATGCAGTCAGATATGTCACGTGGAGGAATATCTCATTTATTTATCTTTTTTTAACTCCTCCTCCAAGCTGTCTTATATGTTGTCTTGGGAGAAGGAATTGCAGACTGAGTTGCCCCTGGACTTGTGGCATACATGCTGCTCCAGGTTAACTAAAGGACTGTTAAGCGTATCCCTGATATAAGGTCTTTTCGCATTGGTACATGGTGCCCGCCAGATTGGCGGCCATCTACCCTGGTCAATCGCCCATATGCTTTAGGGGGTGTGGTCTCACTGGAACAATGCTACATACTTGGTGGGAATGCCCACGCATCCGTCCATATTGGAACAGGCTTCATGCCTTGATATATAAGGTACTTCGCATCCGACCACCTCGTGACCCGCAGAATGTCTTATTAAATCGTCCAGTCCCTGGTTTTTCCAAGCCTGAAGCTGCACTATTGTCGTTCTTTTTTTTGGCTGCCAAAATTCCCCTAGCTCAGGCGTGGAAAACCCAAACCGTCCCGTTCAAACAAGTCATTTCTAAACTATCGTGGCTAATGATACATGAGAAATTGAATAGTATCATCAAAGATACTAGGGATACATTTGAGCGGATTTGGGACCCGTGCATGCAATATCTACATGTTTCTCAGTCTCCTTAGCCAAATTGTAAGGCCAATTTTATTTTTATTTTTTTGGTGTATGAAGGTCAATGTTAAGCAGATACATAACCTGCCTTGTATATATGTCTATATGTATCATATGAGATGTCCGATGTTATTTTCTTTTTGTCTTGTCTAAAATTTAAATAAATAAAAATTTAGGACTCAAAATGCGTTACCTGGAGTTCATTAAAAGACACAGGACCCAACCCTCAGTATTTTTTGTTTACCAGTGTCTAATTCCTCCTGTTGGTAGCAGTATATCCTTTGTCCTTTAATGAACTCCTAGAAACAGAGTTCACAGTAAGTACAAAAATCCTGTTTTATCCATTAATGGTTTAGATTATTTCAAACATTTGCTCAATAATAATATAACCATATGAAATGTTAGGTGTATTTTATTACATAATACAATCTTTCTTAAATTCCTAAGGGTTCCGAAACAGCTGTGCTTCCACAATCACACAACACTTCATAAATGCAGTGACCTTTATTTAAAAAGCGTTGTGTATATAAGAAAATGTAAATGGTAAATCACAAAAATGTCTTCAAGCGCGTAAGTGTTTTTTGGTCTATGTAAAAAATTTTTATTAAGTGCTGTGATTGAAATTACCGATCTGTTTATTTTATTCTAGTAAATGCTACACATGAACTAGGCCCTCCAGTAGAAGTTATAATCCCAGCGAATGAATCAAGTTATATTCTTAAAAATTTAAATCAGAACACGAGGTACAAGTTTTACTTTTATGCACACACCGCTGTGGGACCTGGGATCCAAAGTACACAAGAAGCAGTAACTGCTATGGATGAAGGTAAGATGGGTATGTACCTGGACATGGATCTATACAGATGTAAATTTTGATATCAAGACTAGCTGAAGATTTATTTAAGCATTTTTTTTTACTGGAAATCTATATCAGTAAGCCTTTTCACAGTGTTGTTTCACTTTTTTTGGCCATATTTGGTTGTTTTTTTTTTTACAGTTTATTAGATGATCTAAAAAAGTCCAAATAACAACTTTTTTAAAATATTTTATTGCTGCAAGGTAAAAACACCAAATAACAAAATACACTAAGAGGGTTATTCACAAAGCTAGCCGAAGGATCAGCTGTAGCTCCGGCTAATCCTTCTGCTAGTTTCGTGCCGCCGTAGACCCTTCGATTCAGTAGAACCGAAGCTGGCCGTGCGGCTCAGCAGACCTGAAATGAAACCCGAAACGGGGCGGCCGGCCATTGGCCACCCGAAAGCCTCGCAGCTGAGTGGAGTCAGCCTGATCTCTAGGTTACCTGGGGACACTGAACTGTCATTAAACAATGGCGACTTGGCAAAGCCGGCCAGCTCTGCCCAGTTGTTATTCATTAGCCGGGACCTGCTAGAAGTCTCATTAGTCTTAACTTTTTTTCTTTTTAAAAAAAATCTATTTTTTTTCAAATGTATCATTTATTTACAAATTCTACTTTTTTGTTCTACTTTTTTCACCGTTTTTCTATTCTGCTCAGCTATTCACTAACTGCTGTTCGGCCCCTATGAGAATAGGCCGAACGGCAGCGAGTAGCCTGCCGGAGGTTCGGCTCAGCCGATCCAACATTTGTCGAACTCCTTCTTCACTTTGGCTGAGACGAACATGCTGAGCATGTTCGGCTGAACCAAAGCAAGCTGATGAACGGCTAATTTCAGCCGATGTACAACTGAAATCAGCTGCACAAGCCTGAAGTAAATAGCTGAACAGCGTTTGGCAGCTTTGTGAATAACCCTTTAAAACGAAAAAGTAAAGCATAAATAATTGCGCACTGTTTTATTAGATTTTTCAAACTGCTGCTTGCAGCTCCATTTTTTTCCATGGTCTAAGAAATGTTTAGCCCCTTCATTGCCGGAGCATTTTTTTACAATGTACATTTTATGCCTGAAAATGAATACTCCCAAAACATTATGGGGTCATTCACAAAACATTGGTTATTCACTGAGTGGATAACCAATCCGAAGTGAAGGAAGCCGAACCCTATATGGCTATTCACTTCAGCCGAGTACATCAGCTGGCTTTGGCTCCCTTCGGTTTAGGCTGCTCAGCATGTTCGGTTGAGCCGAAGTGAAGAACCCGTACAACTTGGCCAAGCCAACATTTGGATTGGCTGATCCGAATGTCCGGGAGTTCACTCGCTGCCGTTCGCCCCTATTCTCATAGGGGCCTAACAGCAGTGAGTGAATAGTGGAATGCCGCCGACGCAAATAAGCCCCCCTGCCTGCAGACCCCCACAACCACCGGGTCAGGGTTGTGGCAGAAAAGACCCTTGTCCTCATCGGCATGTGGCCAGGCCTGTGCTCGGATTAAGGGTCTGGTTGGGAATTTTAGGGGGACCCCACATTCCCCCTCCCCCTAAAGGGCCTGGTATAACTTTTTGGTGGAACCCCACCCACTTTTTTTTACTTTTCAAACTTGGGGTCCCTCCTAAATTTCCTACAAGACCTAAAGGGTCTTACATTTTCACTTACATTTTCGGCCAATATTTTTCCAGAGAAAAAATCTTAAAAGTCTTAAAATATTTCCAACTGCTTTGCATTTGTTTTCCGTTTTAAAAGATGAATCGTCCACACTGTTATGTGTATTTCAATTCTTTCAAAATGTATTGAGTATACTTCTGTTTCCATTTAAAGCTGTTTTTCCCCAACCTGCTTTGGGTGCAGGCAAAGGTAAAATGAAGCACTGCATGTTATTTTTAGCTTGCAAATGTGTGACCTAAAATGTTATAAGGGCAGCATAGAATTACAAGCAAAGGTTACTAAACTTTTTTTTTATTGGTAGACAATGCTATTTATAATGTTTTATGGATGTTCTGCATGAGTTGAAGTATTTGTTAAATTACTGCTGGCTTGATGCATGCCATATTTTAAGGGTGCTTGGTATTCTCTTTTCCCACCACCTAAAGTATGTCTTGCTTACCGTCGCAAGAAGAATGTACTTTTATTTTCTCCTTAGTTAAAATAATAGATTTATCCTAAAAGTTAAATTGCAGAAGTAGGTTGAATCACGCTGGTATTTATATTACTGTTGTGTATTCAGAATACATGTAATATGTTTTTTGCATTATCCTTCATTGGAATGCATGGACAATTGTAGAGAGTTGTGCAACAAACTTTATTAAAGTACACAGGACCTGTGTGGTACACACTTTCCGTCTGCCCTGCTGCAACTCCTTTTCTTGCATTAGCCAGCAACTCCCAGCTGTCATAATGACAGCTTAAAGTTGCTGTAAAAATAATGGACCGTCTGACACAGTGTTCATAAACACTGCTCAGAATTACATTTACTGTATATACAGTATATCTACTCTGTTTCATTTATTTACAGATAAAGGGAAAGCACTTTGATCTATATATACTGTATATGTATACCGTATATATTTCCACATATCCACGTATAGGTAAGACTCCGGTTTCCACATCCAATGCCTTTTCAGGGATAGAATTGATACAACAGTTTTTAAACAAATTGCTACAGTGTTATATCCTTCCTAGTGTAATGGTCCTGGAGTGTTCTATGCATATCAGCATGATTTTATATGTTAACCTTTCCCATGCACTGCCAGCCTTATATTGACCTGTCCTAAACTAACATCAAGTCCCCCGATTAGATTGTGCAGCAACTTTTCAAAAACTTCCTGGTTGGGCCTCCACATTTACTTTCTGTTCATTCCTATGAAGCTTCCGAGTATGAGCTCATTGTCTGAAATGTGGGAATGAATAGATTCATAGAAGTAAATCTGTGGGCCCAGCCGACCAGATTTTGGCTAGTGACTAATCTAGTCAGAGTATCTTACTGGATTTGGGACATATGCCTTTGAGAGGGGAGGGAAGGGGAATGGGGTTCAGCTATTTAAGTACCAGTATGTGCACCTAATAACCGTGTTTATGTCTTTCAATTTTATATATGTAGTATACAGAATATGTAGTGATCTACATAGTTGGCAGTGAGTCTTAGGTACATGCAGCATTTGCACTGTATTTTCTCATAAGCAAACTCTGGAAAATTGTCCTAACACAGAATTTCTATATTAACACATTTTGGCTGATATCTGACATGGAATGCAGTCCTTTTATAGCGGATACTGAAAATCACAGGGAGTGGCACAAGACACTCTTCATACTATAATAAACTTGCATGCGTTGTACTTTAATAAACATAGGGTACACATTTAAACAAGCCTACTACAGTTGGCTTGGGCGGGTGCCAGGAAGTCATAAAGGTGCATATTCACAGCCTTTTTCTTTTCTTTTTAGCTGTTAGCTCTGTACATATTGCTGCTCTGGCAAATGGCGAGGAGAAGCTATTTTCCCTCCATTTCAGAAGCAATGTCATGTGCATACATAGTAGTACTTTGTGCAACCCTCTTTAGTCTTGGCTGCGAAGGGTGCTGCAGCAATTCTCATGCCTATTTCCCACTGATATGAATACAGAAAATTAAAAGGCACAATACAACTTTTTAAAAGTGGTGCGACAGATTTCCAATACATTAGAGATAATCAAACCTGCAACCTGTCAACATGATTGACTTTCTTGTAATCATAACTCTAACCTAATAATGTCTACTAATGTGAATGCATAGCGTACATGGCCTGATTATAACTCAGCTGCACCAAAAACCTTTGTGTCAGAAGACAATCAATTATTGCGTATGGTCACCTTTACAGGAAACCTGTCACATGTAGGCTATCAATCTGAAAAATGCTAGTTATCTGTCTGCCACCTTGACCTTCTGGCTTCAATATTTTTCAAATTACTGGCCAAAAACAAGCTTCCATTAAGGAGTTCTGATGTTCTGCATAATTTATGTGGGTTGGCTGCTCTAAAACCAGGGGATCAACATGGCAAGCAGACAACTGTTTCTTTAAAAAGGAGATTCAGAAACTAGGTTTATGTATGAAACCATTATAAAAGAATATGATCTAATGTTTAGATGGTATATGGTCCCCACTAAACTGGCTAAGTTCTCAAAAGATACATCTTCGCTATGTTTTTGGGCTTGTGGGGGAAGAAGGATCGATGGCCCATATATGGTGCAAGTGCCCAGAAATTCTGAGTTATTGGTTGGAAATATATAAACTCATTGATAGTGTATTGGAAAGGGAGATTAGGAAAGATCCATGGGAAGAATTGTTAAATTTGCAGCCAGAAGGATGTATGAGAGACCAATTTAGACTACTAACTTTTATTTTTACAGCTGCTAAACAAACATTGGCTAGGGCATGGAAGGTGGACATTCCCTCGGTTCAAAATGTTAAAAATAAAATGTTATGGTATTTGATAAATAAGAGAATGATAGCAATATTGGAAGATACAATCTTCAAATTTAAGAAGGTCTGGCAACCTTCAGCTGAGGGTGTTAAATCATTCAAAATGCATTTGGACAATTTCCTCAGAGACCGTAACATACTGGGGTACAGGTGCCCTTAAAAAATAAGATCACACAGGGACTCGTACACACGCATACACAGAATCCAAAACATACACACAATAGTTTGAACTTGATGGACCTGTGTCTTTATTCAGCCTCAAATACTATGTAACTATGTAACCATGGATTCAAGAATCTGTGCCATTAGATCTAGATAAAATATTTACAGAAAGGGATTGATAGAAATCGAAGCTAATGGTCACTGTATGGGGTGAGGGAGGAGAAAGGTTTTGGAGAGGAGACTGATTAACCT